GAAGCCCCCACTTTCTCAGCATTGTGGAGTGTGGTAACGGGGGAGAGTTTGAAGTTTAGGGCCTGTGCACTTCTCTCACAGACTCCAAAATTCCTGGAAGTTCCTGTAACCGTTGTTATAAACGGGGCTTTGAAGCAGGACGTCTGGGCTCTGCGGGGACACTTCTCCGGGCCCTGGGCAGGCCGCCGCCCCCTCCTGCCCTGGGCGATTAGCACCTTTCCTGGGCAAGACCTCAACCCCCTGGGTGTGAAGCGTGTTCATTTTGCAATGCAAACACCATCACTCGCTTTATTGGTTTGTTATATCAGCCTCTGAAGCAGGCAATTATTGGTGTGAACATACACGTAAAAAAACGTAATTTTATCGAGTTACGAGTGTGCAACAGTGTAAACAGGTGGGAGTGCGATTCCTGGAAGATGTGCTGAGGACAACGCGGGTCAGCAGGCTGAGGGGTCTTCGGACGGAGCAAGGATGCCTCAAACCCGGGAGGAGGCGGCAACACTAAGCCTCAGAGCTGAAATGTCTGGTCCGTGTAAACTTTGGGGCGTAAACTTTAGGCTCCGGGCGGCTCCCTTCTGCTCTGGGAGCGTCCCTACCCGGCTGGGGCCCGGGGCGGAGGTCGGAAACGGCCCGGACCAATGCTTGTCCAGGCGGGGGTCTGTGGCCGGGAGGGCCGAGTTCGGCCGGTCCCCCCACGGCGGGTGGGCTGCCTGCACTTGGACGCGCTCCGGTCCTGCTTTGGAAACTCCGTGGAAACGGAGTCTGCGACGCGCAGCAGGCCGGCTCCCCGTTTGCTCCTCCTCCGCGCGGGGCGGGGCCCGTTAGGCGCAAAAGGGCTTGCCCCCGGCCTTGGGCGCCGCCAGCAGCTCCTTGGCTGAGCCTGCGGTCGGGGCGTCGTGGGGCGCGGCGGGCGGGAAAGCGCGCGCCAGGGGCGTCGTCAGCACGTTGGCACCTGCCCCCAGAGAGCGTCCCAGCGGTCCTGGGTCCAGGAGGGCGCCCTTGGCGGTGGCCCAGGCCTGGTTCAAAGTGCTGTGCCTGAGGATAGGGTCGTGAAAGACCCCATCCACCCAGTTTCTGAGACTGGTTACCGGGGAGTCCTGGTGCCTGTCCCGGGCACCCGTGGGGGCCGGGGCCGCAGGCGAGGACGACGCAGGAGCCAAGGAGGCGGCCGCAGGGGCAGCGGAGCCTTGGCGCTTCAGCATGCACGAGGGGAACTCAGTCTGGCTCAGGGCTGTGGCGGCCGCGGTGGCCGTGTGAGCCAGCGACCAGATGCGCGGCTTGGCCTCGAGGCCCGCCGTCGCCCCAGCCGGCGCGAAGCCCAGCTTGGCCTCGCAGGCCTGCGAGCCGCCCCCAGCGCCAGGCTGCTGCTCGGGCGCAGCCGCCGCGCTCCGGAGGCAGCTTCTGGCCCTCTCCAGGTCCTGGTCCAGGGCGGCCGCGCCACCGGCGGCCAGGGGCATCCGGAGGGTGCCGGAAGCCTCCTTTCCCGGGGCGCTCGGACCGTCAGGCGCGGCGGGGATGCGCTCCAGACCGCCGTCCAGGGGCTGGAAGGGCGGTTTCAGCTCGCAGTCAGGGGGCTCCGCCTCCAGCGGGTCGAAATCCTCCAAGTCTGTGAGTTCTACATCCTTCTCCCCTTTGCCCACCGTCTCTGCGCGGGGTAGAAAGAGGGGCCAGTGCAGGAAGAGAGGAAGGCGCTAATCTGGACCTCACTCTTCCTTCCCACCTCTGCCGCATAGTTATGGGCCCGCCCCCCGCCCCCAAGCTAGGAGAAGCACCTGTACCTCCCACCTGCTCCAGAACCCCAAGTGGTAACAGAGAAGCCTAGCTTCAATGGGGGGGAGGGGGGGGGAGGTGGAGTGTGTCTGTTGTTTTAAGGGCTATTTTGGATTTCTTTAAGCCTGTTCCCAGTTACTCCCGCAGGCCCCCAGGTCAGGGCCCCAGTGGGTCAGCTCATTTCACTTGTTGCCCGTGCCCTGACAGTTTGCTCTTACTACCCCGGGTTCAATGTCTTCAGAGGTCCCAGAACCCAAGAAGAAGGCACAGGGAGTCCCCGGCCTCGGTGCCCCAGCCTTAGCATTGCAGGTCCCACCCACCTTCGTTCGTGGTGCTCTTGAGGGGCTCCTCCCTGGCCGCCTCTTCGCCCCCTTCTTCCTCCTCGCCCTCCGCGTAGGGTCGCTTCTCATCCGCGCATTTGTTCCTCGGGGGCCACGTCATCTTGTTCTCCTTCTTGAGGCGCCGGCGCGCGTTGGCGAACCAGGTGGACACCTGCGTGAGGGTCATCTTGGTGATGATGGCCAGCATGATCTTCTCGCCCTTGGTGGGGTACGGGTTCTTGCGGTGCTCCTGCAGCCAGGCCTTGAGCGTGCTGGTGGTCTCGCGCGTGGCGTTCTTCCGCCGCGTGCCGCTGTCCATGGTCCCGTACCTGGAGACAGGCTGGGCAATGGGGCGCTGGGCCGAGACGCTTGCGGCGCGGGCGGCCGGCCAAGGCCCAGGCAGGCTTTCAGTCCCCGTCGTGGGAGTGTGTTTACGGTGGTGAGACCTGGGTCAAACCCAGGCCCCTGGTTCCTCGCCACGGCCCACAGGCACAGCCTTTTGTGGCCCAAGATGTTTACATTTGATTCAACTTACAGGGAGCCTGGGCTCCTTCCTAGCCGGAGTGGAATGCGGGCTCAAGGCCTGGCCAGGTCTCTGTCACCCTACATAGACATCTATTTCTTCAGGTTCCTTTATGGGGCCCCTCGCCTACCCTTTTGATCCCCGAACCACAGAAATGTGAACCCAACTATGTAACAGCAGTGGGCAGGGGTGGTCATTAGTGTCCGTGGGGAGAGAGCGTCCAGACGGCCTATGTGGACTTCCTGCAGTTAACTTTATAATTGTCACCCTCCTCCCCCCAAGATGGGCCACGCATCTCTGGATGAGCAGACTGGACTCCCCCCTTCTGGTTCCCACCAAAGGGAAAGGTGGGCTGGGCTCTTGGGCAGAGGGAGGCGTCTGAAGCCTGGGCAGGGAGACTTGACAGCCGCCTAGAACCACAGTGCAGGAGGGCTGTGAGGGTCCAGACAGCGAAGGGAGAGAGAGGGAGAGGCCGGGGACGCATTTGCCCAGTGGGGCAAGGATTGCCAAGGGGGCGGGGCTCGGACTAACGCAAGGTCAGCTGAAACCTGACCCGAAATCCCTCCCCTAGCCGCCCAAAGATTCACAGGGGGCGTGGGGCTGGTGGTGCGGAGTTTGACGACTGAATGGAGCGCAGGGGCCCGGGCGGGGGGCAGTGAGGAGGGATTCTGTCCGCTGGTCCCTCACCTGTCGTAGGGGTACTGGCCCAGCGCCGGCTCGTAGGGGTAGTAGGCGGCGGCCGCAGCAGGCGCGAGGCCCGCATGCGCAGATCCCGGCGCGTCCTTGGAGTCGAAGCCATTCTGTAGGATCCCACGCGCCTGGGGTCGCAGCTTCCGGGAGGCGACCCAGCTCAACCCCAGCCCCCCAGGCCCCTTGGCTCCTGCACGCTTTGCACAGACCTCTGGGCAGCCTCATAAGCCACCCCCACCCCTGGACTCTCTCTTGGGGCCAGGGAGCAAAGAAGCCTCAAGATGGGGAGAGAGGACGCGCAGAATTGGGGGGGGGGGTCGGGGAGTAGGAGAGAGAAGAATGAGGTTGGAGGGAGAGGGGGGCAGAGGGGACAGGTGGGGGTTGGGAGACAGCAGGAGGGAGCACCCGGACCCAAGAAGAGGACCGACCGACCGCAGGGAGGAAGGCGGAGCGAGGGGGGAGACGAGCTGGCGGGAGGAGGGGGAAGGGAGCAGGGGAGGGCCAAGCGGTGGGGCACTGGGAGGGAGGAGGAGGGAGACCGGGAGGAGTGAAGGTAGGGAGCTCAGAGGAGGAAGGCGCGGGACAAGGGGCGGGCGCCGAGCTCGAGCTCTGCGGGCGGGCGGTGCTGGGAGGAACCCGGCCAGGAGGCTCCCCCTGCAGCGTGGGGTCCTGGGCACTTGCGCCCGCGCCTCGGGCTTCCTGGGAGGTGGGCTGGGCAAATAGGGGGCAGGGGCGTGGCGTGGCGGAGGAAGGCTTCAGACAATCCCCTCCCCTTACCAGCGAGTAGAAGGCGGACGCCTCGGAGCCGTAGGTCACGTAGTTGCCGTAGCCCTGCGAGCCGCCATACGGGCCCCCGTACACCCCAAGCGCCGCGGCCGAGTTGAGCTCGTGGCGCGCGGTGGCCAGCAGCCGACTCTCGTAGACCGGGCAGTAGACGGGTGCCTGGGCCGAGGCGGCGGGCCCCGAGTCGGCCAGCGTGCGGCCGCCGGACTCGCAGCACGTGCTCAGGGAGTTGGTGGTCATCAGGAACTGGGGGAGAGAGGGGCCGCGAGGAAGGGCCGGCGCCCGGGGGTGAGGGGGGCGCGCCGCCCAGGGGACCCTGCCCCACTGCCCGGGGCGTACTGCCATCCACGCCGCGCGTTCCCTCCTGCCGCGAGTGCGCTTGGCTGGGCCTCCTCCAGCCACTGGGGGACCAGCCCTACCAGGCCCCGGAGTTTTCACACGCACCCCGGGTGTGTGGGTGTGTGTGTGTGGGGGGGGTGGTGTCCCAAGGCCGCGCACGCCCTCCTGTGCCACGACGTCTCTCCTGGGGTGATGGTGAGGGTCACAGAAAGCGAGAGACAAGGGGGGCCCGCACGTCAGAGTCTCTCGGCGCCCCTGTCCTCCCCGGGGCTGGGTGCAAGGAGCGCCTGGTACAGGCCCCGCTCTCTGGGAAGCGACCCCGGGTCGCTGGACAGCCTGCCGGCCGGCGTGTCCGGCCGCGTTCCCCGCACCCTCGCGGGGCCCCCTTACCTGGGGTGCGGAGGAATAGGGGTATCCAAACTGCGGGTAGGACATGGCGGGGCCGGCGGGGTCCTGCGCGTGGTCGCCCGCGTGGCGCGGCCACTGCTCCGGGGCCGCCGGCTCCTAGGCGCTGGGAGGGCGAAGCGGAAGAGCGGGTTAATTCATCCACGCGCCCCGCAAACTTTTCTAACCCGGTGGGAAAGTGAGCCGCGGCGGCCGCACCGAGCCTTTTAGCCTCACGTTCCCGAGCCTCGAGGGGGCTCTGGGACCAGCCCGCCTCGCAGCGGCGACACAAATACATATTTTGCAAAAAAGGGGGAAAAAAAAAACCACCGAGTTGCGCGAACCCGTCAAGTCAAATGTGCTTGGCTTTCAGCGGCGGGGGCGCTGACGTCAGCCCACGCCGCGCAGCTCTGCCGGGCCGCAGACGTGCGGGTCACTGGCGGCGGCCGGGCTGCGGGGCTGCGGGGCTGCGGGGCGGGGGCGCCGCGCGGGGCGAAGAGGCCACAACAGGCTCTGACAAATGAATTCCGTCCGTGGAGTCAATATCGCCCCCACGAATGCCGTTTCTCCTTAGTCACCGAGGATGGGAAGCACTTTTAATTAGAAATTAATTAATGAGCACCTGCGCCTGCCCGCCCCACTGTAATCATTAGTCTCAATTACAAATGAGACATGTGAAGGGACACACGAGCGAGTCTCCACTGAAGATGTAATCAACAGTTAAAATTAGCCGGGCGCTGGCGCAGGCGGCCGGGCCTCCGCGCCCCGCTCGGCGGCAGGTGCCGGAGGGCGGCTCCGCAGGCCCGCGCGCGACCCCGACTATTGTTTCACTGGCTCTCCGCTCGGCCTCCCGCCGGTTCGAACCCTGCTCCGGGGCGGGGAGCTCCAGAACCAGATGCGGCTGCCACTGTGCGCGTCCGAAGGGCAACCTGCTCTCAGGTGTGCGGGTCCCGCGAACTCCCCAGAGCCATCCACTCCGGGCCTCGGTGGTCCAATTGCCGCGGGGCTCTGCGTCTGCCCGCCAGCCTGTCCCCCGGGAACGCCACCCCCCCCGCCCCCGCGCGTCCCACCCCCGGTCCTGTGAGTTCCTGCACAGCGAGCGGCCCTCCCTTTCCTCCTCCACCCCCTTCCGCGGCCGCCCTCCCAGCCTCCCCCTGCCCCTCGCGGCTGAACCCGGGACTGCCAGACAGCCCTGCGCGCTCCGCCGCCCTGCTCCGGGGCCCCTCCGGGTTAGGTGCAGGGGAGGGAGCGCCGGGACGCCTTCCCCTGCCCGTTTTGCATAGCTCTGGGCCCGGGGCGTTCGGGGCAGTCTGGGGGCTGGGGGACAGCCGTGCGCCCTCTCCAGGACTTTCCATCGGGTCCCGGTCCTGGGACCCAGCTCGAATGCAAAGCGGAGGCCAGCACGCAGGCTGCAAACGGGCGCCCGGGCACCCCGAACCCGCGGTCGGCCGGCCGGGAGGGGAGCTGTGCGCGGCGGCGCTGTGCAGACTTGCTCGGAAAGATTCCTGGGTTCAGACCTGTGAATCGCCCCAGGGTCACCCTCTAATTAATGATGACGTTCTCGCCCTCTCCCCAGCTGCAAACCTGCCTCCCAGAAACGAAATCTGCCCGCTCTGACAGCTCGGTTGAAGGTGATTGATGACTGTCTGGAGACCACAGTACGCATCATATAATATCTGCTGCGTAATTGCTTTAATTTACAGATGAATATACGAGCTCTCCGATCGCGCTGAACCACAGCCGGCCACGTCCGAGCTGCTTGCGAAGGAAAATCATCGGAAATAATGAATAGCCGCCCCATGCAAATTATTCAGACAGTTTAAGCGTCTGTAGCCGGGAGAGATATATAAAGAACACGAGTCAAATGACATTAATAATTGTTTCTGAATTCTGTATTGATCTCGTGGCGGCCGTGTTTATTTCTTTCTCACCTGAATTGCTAATATCACCTTCCTGTAAATAATAAGAAACTAGCCACCGGGGCTTCTGGGGCAGAAATGAATCTCTCAGTCGCTTTCCCTCTTCCTCCTCTGCTCCTCCCCCCCCCCCCCCCCCCCCCCCCAACTCCTTCCAGTTTTCCAGGCTTCTGCTGTGGCTTTTCTGAACATCCTCCTACTTTCCATTATTTATTGTTTACAAACAGCTCGCTCTCTCCTGGTAATGAGGTTTGGGCGACGGAGGGGCCCGAGCCACGGGTGGCCGAGGGGGCTCCGGGAGCAGCAATCCGGGGCAAAGGTGCCTTCAGCCCCTTGTCCTCACCCCACTCCCAAGGCCCAACCCCAGCGATCGTGAGCCCTCGGCTGGCAGGGGGAGGACGGCCACCGCCCAGGTCCCAGCGGCACCGAGCCACCGCGCTCTGGCTTGCTGGGCATCACACCCAGGCCTGCGCCCCCTGCCCTTCCTCACCCGGGCCACAGCTCGCGGGGAACGGCGCCCCCTGAACACGCCAACATTCATCTTGTGAGCAGCCTTCGGAGCCCGGAGCCCTGGAGGGCACAGGCTGTCAGTGGAGGCCTCAGGGGGGTCAAGGGCTTCCTTTGAGCATCACTGCAACGTTTCCCTTTCCAGCCTGGGTCGTAAAAAGACGCCCCCAGTCCCCACCCGCTGGCCCGGTTCTCCCAGGCAACCTGGACTCCTAATCCAGAAATCAAGCTCACCGACTACTTTCCAAGGCCTCCGCTTCCTCCGCTTCCCGCCGGCTCCAGGCCTGCCGCACCCTGGCGGCCACCCTGTCTGGGGAAGCTCGGTGCTGTTGTGAGGAGCCTGGCGACCTTGCCCCGGCTCACCCAGGCCCCGCGACCCGATCCTGGATGCAGGGCTGGCCAGGCCTGTCTCCCGACTGGCGCACACCCTGGCATCTCGCTGACGCCCTGCGCCTGGCTGAGGCCGGCCTCCTGCAACCGAGATACTTTCTGGTTTATCTTTGTCCCTCGGCAAACGCCGGAATAACTCTCCGAGTGCCCTTTCCCGAAAGGCTGAGGCCCCGGGGTTTCCCTCCCAGAGCGGGCAGAACGGGAGGGTGGGCATCTCAGGTACCATCAGCTAAATGCTCCTGCACAGACGCGCTTGCTGAACCCAAGTCCCTCGAGGGACCCTCGGTTCTAAATACACCCCCGAGAGAGGCTCCCCGGGGACCGAGCAGCGGCTAAGCTCGGGAGAGGTGCCCCCGCCAGCCTGTTGAGTGCTGAAGGAGCCCAGGGCCAGGGGGCCTGAGGACGGTTAGCGCCCAACGTTAGAGGCCTACGGGTCGCCCTCTTCGCCCCGGGGTGGGGGGGGGGCGTGCTGTAGGCCGCTGAGGGCCTCTGGGAGGTAGGCCGCGCCCTAACGTTCCACCCCGCCCCGCTCCCCGTGGGGCTTCGCTCCCGAGCCCCGCCGAGGCCAGGCGCTCCCCGCGGTTCCCTGAGTCGTCCCCCGGGGCCACCCCGTCCTCCGCACCGAGAGCCTCCGGGGGCTCGCTCCAGCCCGACGAAGTTGACCTCAGGCAGAGGGCGGAGGCTGGAGCGCGCGGAGCCGGGCGAGGGCCAGCCCTCGGGGCGCCGGTGCCCGCCCACTGCTTGCGGACACCCGGGCGGGGTGTGGCGCTGAAAGGCGTTCTGGATGTCGCTGGCGCCGAGGTCGGCGGGTCACTCCTTCGCGGCCGGTCCTCCGGGTCTCACGCGAAGTGAGGCGGGCGAGCTGCAGGCAGGCGCGCGGAATCCTGCTCCCGAACCGCCTGCACCCCTCCCCTCCGCCCCCCACCGTTTCGCTCCGGCTCTCCCGCCGCGCCCCCGCCGCCCGCCCGCAGGGCGCCGCCCGAGCGGGAAAGGCGCGCGGTCGGGGCGTCCCGGGGCAGGCC